ATATTGGAATGAATTTTGTGACATAGGGTTTATTTAACAGGTTTAGTAACCTAGCCTTTGTCCTCAAAAACATATATAGATGGGTTTCATTAGATTTAAACATTGTTAATGTTATGTATGAAAAATTAAGAGTTTTTAATAAAAACAATGTGTTTATAATATCCCAATGAATAGAAAAACAAAGTTTTTTTTAAATTCTCTGATGTTTTGTGACTAAGTGTAAATCACTTCTTCAGAGAATAAATAGACAAACTAGATCGAATTGGAATTTACTTGGTATTGTTTGGTTTGTATCTTCCCGTTGAGGTTTAAGACTGAAATTGATCAGTCTGTTATTGGCATATGTGCATACTGTGCGTATGCCTCGATATTGCCTTAATTCACAAGCTATTTGTAAGCAATAATGATGGGTGGCTAGCAGTGAAATCCAGGACGCGCGCTTCGTCCCGTTTGGGACTCGTCAGCCGGATGTACCTGCATCTCAGAGTTGATGTTCACTCTGGGACTCGAACCCAGCACCATTCGCTTCAAACGCCATCGCGTTATCCACTTAGCTACTGAGTCCTGATAGCCACTTGCTTGTGCAATGGGGTGAATTTAAATTCACTTGGTATTGTTTGGTTTGTATCTTCCCGTTGAGGTTTAAGACTGAAATTGATCAGTCTGTTATTGGCATATGTGCATACTGTGCGTATGCCTCGATATTGCCATAATTCACAAGCTTTTTGTAAGCAAATTAAATTAAATTGGGTCAGTTTATTTGAAATTACTAAGTCGAACTTTGTTAATAACACCTATTAAAACAGTTTTGTATTTGTTCCTAAAACCAACACGTTTAAGTCAATTTACTGGTACTGGGAGGTGGGGAACCGTTAAAATAACAGCATGCCAACTTATATGCGATTAAGGCGCTCATGCTTCATAGCGAACATGATAACCTCATAGTATTGAAAGCGAGAGCAATTTTGCTCAAGTATTTTGAAGCATTTGAAATCCATAGATTAAATGAATCTCTTGAAATCCTTTGACATATTTTCAGTGGTGGATGGATTAGAGGTAGTTTGAAAGTAACCTAGATGCCACTATATCAAAATCTGAAATCTATCCCTGAAGTCAGTGACAACTGGTTCGGATCATATGGGAAAATATGGACTTCTTAGTTGAAGCCATTGTGATTTCGTAGTATACAGTAGGAGAACCTATAAGCAAATATATTATGTGTATAAAAATGAATCATGATGAAGTCTGGCATGCTATGAGCTGTTAATCCAGTTTGTAAAACATTTCTTAAATATCATTTAGAGATATAAAGACAAAGAAGTCCTACAGAATGAAAATAATAACACTAATATTTTAAGTGAAATGAAAGACAGGGGAGAATATAGGTAAGATAATGTAGTCTAAAGCACAAGGTTAAATATTACTCAATATTGTCGGTACACGGTAGTGTATAGTTGATATTGTAAATGTTAAAGCAATGGATTCTAAGACAATATCATTTAGCCTCTCATCATCTATTTCATTTGCTTTACTTACACCGTTGGCAGACGGAGAATAAATATGCTTTCTAATTAAAGTATCCTAAGAAAAATAGCTACTAAATGATGGTAAATCCCATATTTGTAACCAGAGATCTAACATTTAATGCTCCTTGATGTTCAATGGTTCGCCAGATGATTTCAGTTTGTCATAAGAAACTACCTTCAAAATGTGTATCCACCAGAGTATGGCAGTAGTAATCTCTTTAATGTTTCATTTAAATACTTATGTGAAATATTAATTATTACATTCATACTCCATTTACCATTCGGGTCACTTGTAGAACAAATGAATTGATTCGTTATCCAGGCATAAAATGCTTCAATCTTGTTCCTTTTTCTCTGTAGCTATCGATTACCTGGGTAGATATTTGTCTAAACATCAAATCATGTGACATAAGTTTTTTATCCAATGAATTTGAACAATTCGGATTGTAGAACTGTTTGTAACTATCGTGACTATAAGATGTGATTACATGCACTTTCCTCAGCGTATTTGGTGCTGTATATCTCCATTTTAATTCTAGGTTATTTCACATGATAATAAATTTTAGGTTATTTATAAAAGCGCATGAGTAAATAGTTCGGCTAGCACATATGATTCGTTAAAAGGGATCGGGAAATTGTTTACAGTATTATGACAATTGTAAAGTAAATAGTATAAAAAAAATCAAACAGCCAGCCAAAATTGACCGAGTTAATTGTTATAATATCGAAGTGATAGTCAGGTACTTGTCTTTATACATGATGATTGATCTTTTGTAGTCTATAAAAGAGAGCAGAACCATATATATTTTGATTCCTTAAAGAAAGAGTTGTTTTTAATTTCATCAAATTAGATTATATTGGTACTTATTGTATTAGTTTCCTGCAACCACAATATTTCTGATTACGTTGGAATCCCATGATTTGTCATTGATTAAGTCGTTTACCAAATAAGGATTGTATTTATAAAGGAAAACGTTTCTGAATCTTCTATATTTCACACTTTTGGCTTATTGAACTGATGAAAATAATCTTGATAAATAGATGATGTTCAATAACAACACTATGTAATTGACTAGTAACTGCTCACAAGATCTTAGCATTGTTTGATTTAGTCGTATACCTGTTAATATCCATAACGTCCATCTCATACACACGTTTCCTGGACTTTCGGCCAGTTGTAGATATAAATGATAAGAGTGAAAAGTGACTAGGAAACTTTTATTGACTAACTAAATAATCAGATACAAAAATCATTGCTGTTTATTTACATTTGTCTTTCCAACCTATGGATTTTTGACATTACATTCTCTTTAGTCTATCAACAACGGTAACTGAAGGAAGTGTTTTCTTTTAGATTAATTATTATTTATATACTTTCGTGTGTGTTTATTTAACACTTCTTCCCCCCTCCCTCACGTGTACGATTTTTTGTTTTTCAAAACATAAACAAAGTACTTAATAGGCTTATTTACCAATGAAAAGAATAGTAAATGTTTATGTCCGATGTTCAGTTGTTATCTCATATTTGTTTACATCCGTATGATATAAATATATCCACTCTTTACTTAAGCCCAGTTGAATTTGTTTACCGATTATTTTGTTGTTGTTTTTTTTTTCGGAAGAACGTCAATTATTTGTTCCGTTATCATCGTTTTTTTTATATATTTTAACCATAACCTATTTATCCAATTTCCCCCCTATGTATAAGTTGATCCGAGTTTATTTTTTGTCTCCCGAAAAATGAGGACAAAATGGATCCTGTTTAAACTTTTTCATAGCATTGGAATAGTTAGAGTGTGACAGACATCATTTTAGCACTGTTAAAATTGCGTTACTATTATAAAATAATGGTTCAGTTCATTTAATGAAATTTATCAAAGTAACTCAATTGATCTAACTGTTAATACACTAACAACATTTAACTGAATAGATAGATTCTCGAAATATATAAGTCTTGTTAGTTTACTGATTAAATATGTACATATATGTATTGGTGAATTAAAACTATTATTTATATTTGGACAGTATTCAATCAAGATAGTATGAGTTACTTGTTGGTTCAATAAACAATTACTATTTTAAGGTCACAAAGTAATCAATAATGTTTCGATTGACGACTATTATACCAGTTAATTAAGGTCACAAAACTAATGTTCATCGGAATTGGATTCTGTATTATAAATACAAACGTACATCAAGAGGATAATTTATAACCCTTAGAGTATGAGTTTCATGGAATAGTTTCATCTTATGTTAAAAGATTATCATAGTCGACAAATATTATCCATTAACATGTTCCAATGAGATAACTCCAAATTCCTTTTTAATATAGAGATTAGTAAGAAAATCTTGTACTGTACCATGAACAGAAATTCAGGATTTTAAACATTGATATACCTTGATAAGTATATCTTACAGCTTACACTAGCTTACAATAGTTCTTTTCTCTAAAGCTGACCAACCTAGCTTCAGTTGTTACATATGTTTGTCTAATTATCCATCCTCTGAAAACAAGAAGACTAGGTCTTGTGTGATCTTGGATAGATGATACAAGTACATTTGTCGTTGTAATAAATATAACATCACTACCACAATCAATAAGTAGAAACATGATTTTATGAGTCTGTCTTTATTCAAACTAGCGTAAACCGTGAAATATATGACAGGTAAGTAGGAATTCACATTTGATTGCAACAAATTTTACATACAAGATCTAAACGAGCTATAGAAAATTAATTGAAGGAAAAGGGGAAATGAACCATCGAACTGTTGAGAGGTTTCATGCAAAGAAATAGCAGCTATTGAGCTGTCTCTGTTTGGATGTTTTATTCACTTTGAATGATTTATTTTATACCAAAGTTTATGTCGCAGATTAATCTTAATTAGGTAGCTATCAAGAATTAGGTAGTTCTGGACATTTGTTTCCTCCCAATCTAGGACTCCTCAGAAGTTTACATCCACAATCCCTCCGGAACTCGAACACAAGACTATCAGTATCATAGTAAGGATTTAACCTTTAGACTACTGTGTCAGTTTCCCGTGGTTTACATTCGTTTTTATGTATTTCAGGATATCTATACATGTAAGTAAAGGTTGTCCAAAAAATGACCATTCAAATCTAAAAACCAATACATTGGTCAATTTTCCCAACCTAATCGATCAGTCATGTAAAATATCACCAATAACAGCATATTTTTCAGAAGCCTCCACAAAAATTCGATTTCGCTGTTAATCACATCAATAATCTCCGACGTTTTTTTTTTAGATCAGTTAGCCTTAAATTTCAATCTGTCTACCTTTTGACTTGATTCATTGTTCATAAGTCGTATGTTTACGCTCAGGCCTACATAGTGATGTTTAATATGACAACATTTCTGTCCTTTTTTATCAGATTTAACAATACACTTGACTTTTCCATTTTATTTGTGTAATATTTTCAAATTGAATGGTTTCTATTCAATTAACTTAATTTAGAGACAATGAAAAGGCTAATTTATATTGGAAACGATATTTATCTATGGACAATAGCGAAATCGTAGGTAAGTTGTGAATTAGTACTTTTTCTCAATTCGATACATTTAAAAATGAAGAACAATATTTTTCGAGTGTAGCTGGTTTATATGCTCAATTTTAAACTAATTTATTATGAGGCTTAGCGATACCCAAGAAAAGTTTTCAGTATAGTGTTATTGAATCGGATGAAAGATTTTGCGATCGGCCAACTTCGAGATCAACAGGTTACATCCCGTAACGATCGATTGTGTACTGGAATTCGTCATTAACCTTAACCTCCTCGATTATGAGAAGGCATTTAGGAGCGCGGATAGGAGAACCTCATGGAACCTTCTTTGACACTATGGAGTGAGTAGCTGAGAATATCGTCAGCATCATCCGGAATTTATACGACAGATTACACTGCGAAACTGTGCATGGAAGTCAGATACATTTCCAGTGAACATCGGTGTCAGACAAAACTGCTTACTCTCCCCCTTTCTTTTTCTTCTAGCGGTTAAATGGATTATGAAGACCTCCGCATCTGGGGGAAAGTACGGAATGCAATGGACAGTTTGGATGCAATTAGAAGATTTGGACTTCACAGATGACTTAGCTCTTCTATCCCATACACATAAAAAAATGCAGGTCAAGACAACCGGTGTAACAACAGCCTCTGTATTAGTTGGTCTCAACATGTACAAGGGAAAACCAACATCGTCAAATAAAACATGGAGAATACCAACCCAATCACACTTGATGGAGAATTCCAGGTACCTAGGAATCGTCATCGATGAACAAGGAGGATCCGATGCAGACTTAAAGGCAAGGATTGCAAAATCAAGGGCAGAATTCCTATAATGGAAGAACATATGGAACTCAAAACAACTTTCGACCAATATCAAAGTCATAATTTCCAATACGAACGTCAATACAGTCCTACGGTATGGAGCTGAAACCTGATGAACTGTTGCAGCCATCATCAAAATAGTACAAGCATTCATAAACAACTGTCTACGCAAGATGCTGAATGTCCGTTGGTCGGATATTATCAGCAACAGCTTACTGTAGGAGAAAACAAACCAACTTCCAACTGAAGAGGAAATTAAGAAATGACGCTGGAAATGGATAGGACATACATTACGGGAATCGCCAAACGGCATCACGAAGCAAGCCCTAACTTAAAATCCTGACGGGAAACGGAAAAGGAGGGGGGTAAGAAAGTTGACGATACTATCTGGTTGTCCGAACCGCAGTACTTAGATGAATTAGGGTTAGAACATATGACTGATAGTAATGACGATAACAATAATAATAAAATTCTGGATAGCTTTATACACTAGACTGCCGCGCTGCATATAAATTCGATACATCTCACTGAACTATTTGAAACAACAAGCGTTTAAATATTACCATTCGAAAATGTCACGTTATCGTTGCTGACACCAATTGATATATTGTCAAAAGTAGTGCTAATATGAGAATTATTGCTCTAGATGATAGAGTATTATGTCATACTGTCGATTCTACTAAATGTAAATATCTTTGATATAATTCTTTCCATTGATTTGTTACACAGTAGAAAATTACACTTAAGGTAGTGACAATTTTAAGGTGTCACTCAAATTTATAAAAATACTCAGTTACTCATTGTTATATGATTGTGATACATTTATGAACTGAATGATGTTAAATAGTTGAAACACGACGATACGATTAATTAATTTGAAGTAATCTTGCACGATCCCTGGATATTCCATTTGACCATACATTGGGGCGCGTGTTGTCGATGCACACTGCTTCGAAGTTTGAAAACGAGGACAGAGGAACCGTACAGTATGTGCATCGTAACTTACAGTGATTTTCAAGTTTGTGCCATTTTGTAATAAAAATATGACCTACGAAATTGGTATTTTATTATGTCTCAGTGTGACTCTGAAGAATGCTTAAGTTGTTACTGAATGTTGCATTAACGTTTCTCGTCAATTTGACACGTTTAAAACAAAAATGAAAGAAAACGTTTTGAAATGGAGTTCATTGCTAACATTCTCAATTTAAACTCAGTTATTAATGGATGACAGGAGTTACCTTTCTTTTGTAATAATGATACTAATAATAGTTCTTTTGCAGGTTTATTTACTCGTATTCAAGTCATATTGTTTGATGTGTAAGGCATGCCATAACTCAAATATCTAAAGTGAATTCTTTGCCATATGAAATTCATTTGTATCAAACCAATATGTTAGTTATTTTTTCTTCAAAATCCACGTTATAAACGTTAAAAACAGTCTCATACTTTCTCTTTTGAAGTTCATCTTCAATTTATGTTATAACTTGTGGCCTGTGCGCCCTGCTAATGTAGAACGTAACGATACCGCCAATTAGAAAGCAGTGAATTATCGATCGGACCAATGACACATAAAACCCGTGTGAGCAGTCTAGAGTCCTGATTGATCCTACTTTCCGCCTAGTCCAGCCAGTTAAGTTCAGTACACAAATCTCAGCCTCTGCGATATGAATCAATTATTTCAAGCATACTGGGTTTATATACCAACCAAACAGACTACATCGTACCAATAAAATGGAAAATAACATTTACAAGATTTAGCCAAATGTGGCTGTGAATGTGTGAGGTGGTAATTAATAGACAGGGCATAATTCAAGAATGGTAAATCATACAATAATAGTTCATAGGTCAAAATAAAGCTCATAATAAGAGGGACATGAATATGTATAGTGTAGTTACTTAACAATTATACCATAAAAATACACTCATGGTACTGGTCCATAAATGGATCCCCAAAGTTACCATTCATTATCCTTATCGGGGTATAACAATGTAATAGTCGTTTCTTGGAAATATTTTTCATGGAAATTTTCTATTTTTATTATGAATAAGGAAATCAATGAAATTCGTTGATTTTCATAACATTTTCTCTTGATAGATCTATTTGTTGGACAATTAATGAGTACGCTTGAATGTGGTGAATGTTCATTCAAATCAACTACATTTGATCCATTTTGGGATTTAAGTTTACCAATACCGAAAGTAAGTTGTTCATTGTTTTGTACTAAAATTTAGAAGAAAATTCAATATATATTTTTTGGAATTTTATTCTTAGTTTTAAAATACAAAAAAAGAACGTGTTTGTAGTTTTGCAACATTGCGATTTCTTGATGCCCATATAGAGTCGAACCCCATAACACGTATAGGTCTCACTTGGCATCTATTCATAGATTGAGACAAAATATATTAAAGTATGCAAACATTTTACTGTGTTTAGTGTCATAATTTTCTAATGTTCAATAGACGCAACCTTATGAAATAAGACGGAAAGGTTGTAGCTTAGGTACTTACTGGTTAGCGTTTTTTTAGCAAGGTTGTTTTCTGCAGGGGGTTGTTCATCCTCCTCCTTTATCCGGATTTGGGACCAGCAGTAACCCTAGAAGAGCTACTGATGGGGTTTGTGGCTAAGGTGGATGTATTGAATAGTTCCCAATTCTCTGAACTGTTTGGTTAACTTAGTCTTGTTATTAGAGTCTACATCATCACTGTCATCGCTGATGACAAATTGAATTAAATGTTTTTCAAAGTGCTAATAGCCGTTTGCGATTGTTGAACTGAGTCGTGCTAGAAGGTGCAAGCCACCTTGTTGCGGTCAGGGCATAATCAATGATCGGCGTCGGGTGATATGGCACAAAATCTGTTGCACTAGTCCTGGTTTATTCACTATTTCTTTCTCCTAGAATTTAAATTTTAAAATAGTTTTGCACATTTTATTCCGTGAGTTTATTCTTCATTCTAGAATCATATTGTTTATACTTAGTGATTTTGCTATCACTGATAGTAATTTGGATTTGTTTTGATAACTTCATTCGAGTGTGTTGATATGCTGTGGCAACTTGAATTGGTGAACATGTATGTGAGATTGTATTTTGTTATCATCTAATTAGAAAGGTTCTAATTATGTGTCATGTAGCACTTGTAACACGTTATTTGACCTTCGATTTTACCTGTATAATCATGTCAGTTAAAAGTCTAAATGGAACAAAGATGCCTGTTACTATCCATCTGGCATTTTAGTACTCTGATGAAAGGGTTGGAAATGAGATTTGTGTCATATTACGCAAACGTTTCCAACTGTCGTAGATTCAAGTGATAGGACGTAACTTCATTAATAACAACATGTAAATGTTCGGATCAACAACATTTAATTCCTTATACTTTAGATTTTGATTAATACTGTGACAGAGTTTGGATAATTCATTCGAATGAATTGTTCTGTTGTTCAACTGATCATCATAAATCACTTGACCGTTTCTCCATTATTATTTAATACTGTTTGAAATCTATATGCAGAAATATATTTTTTAAATAATTTTTCTTAGTCATACTAAGTGTACAGTATTCTGATATTCCTATGGCTCAACTGATTGGATTCGAAACCGTGCTTGTTTATGATATTACTTGCTTACTTACGCCTGTTACCTCTCGTAGAGGAGCATAGACCGCTCACCAGCACTCTCCATCCAACTCTGTCCTGGCCAGTCATTTCCATTTCTTTCCAGTTATTATTCATCCTTTTCATGTCTGCTTCCGATTCCTGACTTAGTGTGTTCTTCGGCCTTCCTCTTTCCCGTTTCCCTTCAGGATTCCAAGTTAGGACTTGCCTCGTGATGCAGTTTTATGATTTGCATAATGTATTTCCTATCCACTTCCATCGTAGTTTTATAATTTCCTCTTCAGCTAGAAGTTGGTTAGTCCTCTCTCACAGAAGGCTGTTACTGATGGTATCCGACCAATGGATATTGAGTATCTTGCGTAGACAATTTACGATGTTGAGTACAATCTATTCTTTTTTTTATCATGAAGTCAGTAATCAAATACTTACCATTATGACTCAGACTACTGATTATTACTAGTTACTAGAAATGTTACTCAATTTCGATTCGAATCTACTTAGAGTTCTGTTACAATTTAACTCTATCACGTACAAAAAAAAAGGAATTTGTTAGATAGATGGATCAACAAGCATATCATGTGCTCCATTTATATACGTGTTTATTGTCTATTTGATGGTAACGTGATGTTTACACGTTTATGTATATCGTCAATATCAAAATAAACCATATATATATACATGTAATTGTTTCAAAGAAGATTTTTATTAATGCCCAATCAAAAGTGCAAATTTATTTATACCTTTTTTCTTTATAATCTTGTTTATGTATATCTCATACTTGTTAAAATTCCAATGTACGTCTTGATGTCAGTTGAACAAATTGATTTGTAAAAACCAAAACTTTAAACAGAATTGATCAAATAATAAACAAAGATAAATTTGAGACTGTAGTGGTGGAATCTAGTAAACTCTGTTCGTTTTATATGTGGGACTCGTTAGATGATGGGTGTTCCTGCATTTCAGAGTTGATGCTCACTCTATGAATCGAACCCAGATTGTATCAATATCAATATCAGGATAGTAATATTGTTTTGTATTCGATAAATAGTTCAGTTATCACCTTCTTGAATATTGATAATTGAGCAATCATTTTACACTCTTCATAGGGATAAGAGGTGAGGTTATTGAGGTTGTTCATTTTAAAGTAAGTTTTCATCACTAACTGACTTACACTGCATAGCTGTCGAGAAATAACACAGAACATTGAATTACTGTTACAGTCTACTCCGTGACTTTTCACTGTTGTGAACCAGTTAACCCAAACATACATACACGAATAAATTCAGCACTTTTGGGTTTCGTTTTGGTCACAGCACGTTCTAGGTCAGAGTCCACATTTTCAACTTCAGTCAATTTGTTGTGTTACTGGGCAAAATCGGATCACGATTTTCTTCCATCAATCAACAGCAACAATATTGCAATATTGATTTATCCCGTTTCATTGAGTGAATTACAACGTGATTTATCACAACGCAATCAGCATTAAGGTCTTAATAATACAACATGGATTTCTCCTATTTACTCAATCAGTGATATTTCAGCGATCCGATCAATTTATTAATATTGTTTTTAAGTTGAGCAACCGATAGACAGCATGAATTTCATCATTTAATTTAAAGAGAAAAGGCATTACAGAATGAAATCAAAAGAGTGAATCTAGTTTGTTCTGATTCAGATTCGAATTGTTAGTAATTGACGGGCCTAAGGTTAGCTTGACTACTAGTCACATCCATAATACCTATCGTAGAACCTCACACATATGTCCATCAATTCAGGTTGTCACAGCATATCAACACACTCGAATGAAGTTATCAAAACAAATGCCAAATTACTATCAATGATAGCAAAATCACTAAGTATAAACAATATGATTCACGGAATGAGATGTGCAAAACTATTTTAAAATTTAAATTCTAGGAGAAAGAAATAGTGAATGAACCAGGATTAGTGCAACAGATTTTCAGTCTAGTCATTCAACTTCTCCGAACACTAGTTATGATAATTGTGAGGACCTCAACCATGTAGGCTGTACTTATCTACACGGCTCATTCCAACAGTCAAGGATTACATGAATTGATTCCATCATTTTCTGGTTCGACTATCCTTACCATCCCTTTTCGTCACTCTTACACCAGCAAACATCATGGATTAAGGTTGGTAGAGTTTTTTGGAGACCATTAGAAGTTCAATAAATCCAAGGAATAAGATCGATCATTTAAGAGACCATTGAGAATTAGGAAGTACGGAACATCAATTTCTATTTAGTGTGGAATTCTTGGATAGTGTTTGACATGTCCTATAGCCTGCAAATTATCATGTGACAAAATCGCGAATCAAAACACTGACTTATACGACCTTGACCTTATGCCAAACCAATGACGCGTTAACAGGTACGAACAGTCTAGAATAGTCGGCTTCGAGTCCTTTTTGGTTCTTTTTCCCTTGCCCTGCCCTGCTCACTGAGTCAAGAATACAATCTCAACTTCCACTTTATGAACCATTTATTTTAGTCATACGCAGTTTATATACAAGTAAACCAGAACTCATCACACCATAAAATAGAAAATAACAATTATACAAGACCAAAAAAAGTGGCTGTGAGTGTGAGACTAAATAATAGATTGGAAATAATGTAAGAATAGTAAATCGTATAGTAATAGTCAATAGGTCAAATGAAAACTTATGATAAACGGAATATGGATATACATATAATATAGTTGCTTAACAGTTACACAATAAGAACATATATATAGTCCATAAATTATTCCTAGCAGTTACCATTCATCTATTCCTTGTTGGGATATAACATTGGTCTTGAGTGCTGTTATTGATACGAGGGCAGTTATCACTTCCCGGTCGCCCACACCGTGGAAGACTTCTTCTAGAGGTACCTGAAAAGGAGATTGGATAAAAGGTGGTCTTAGTGAACTGAGAGCGTGACCGCAGTGCCCAAGGGACAACTGCTTGAGGTCGGTCACATACGACTTTTTGTGAGTAATTTTCGTGTTAGCTCCGTACTTGTTGACACCTTATCGCCGGAGACGGATATCTGTGGGATAAGGTGAGGTGTGCATTTCTATGGTCGACCTTTTCTAACCCAACCCCTCCTTGTGGGAAGGCAGCATCTCTGTTGTGCTGATTGTCTAAGAGAAACACCTTACTGCTGTCACACCTCTGTACAATCAGCAGTACGACCTCGCTCTCGGACTTTGTGTTTGCTGCTTCTAGTCCTACCGTTCTTCAACCGACCTATCTGGCATGGTGGGACCTTGAGGAACGATTGATGTAGCCACTATAGCTCGATTGGTTCATGACGATATTCAAGCCCGACCACCACGTCAAAGTAGCAACAACAGTCGGTGTACATATGTGCCTGGTTCTACGTTGTAGCTGGCTGACCCCGATATAACAGTGTTCATTCACGATGTCTATATGAGTTGACCCATTGTATTCAAATCTCACACTGAGCATATTAACAAAAAACATTGTGCATAAATAATCTGTTATTAGAATTTATCTGTATGCTAGTAATATTAGATTATGTTTGTATATATTTGATGATGCAACTTGTTAAATACCATGTCATCAATAAGATATTAACAAATTACACATAAATAAAACCATCATTGTTAGATAAGGAATTGGTAGAAATTGTAATAATTTTTAATAGTTGGATTTATGAGTCGATTTTAGCTAGACCAGCATTGAAAACCTGAAAGCAAGATCATTGATGCTCATTTCCGAGGAGTCCCATACTAAAACGAAACAACCATCCAATGATTGCAGGTTTTCAATAGTGGTCTGGCTTAAATCGACTCATGGATTCAACTATTAAAAACCATCATTACCAATTTTCTCTTACTTCAATTCTATTTTAACTCTCTTCTCTTTCTTCTCTCAAATAGTAGTTGCTAAGTTTAATTTAGTTTTTTTTTGTCTTACTATTATTGATTTAATTTTTTTTTCATTTTCGAGTAAATTATCTTCATTTACATTCAGCTTTACACCCTACTGTTTATCGATTTCTAAGGATAACTTATTTACACTTATGATGGATATTCCGATAGAGAATAAGCAAGAGAATGATTCTTTTCTATATTATGTGATAATCTAATTGAGAAAAAAATCTATTTTGCTCTCATGTTAACTAGATACCCTACTGTTTTGTGGTACTACTATTAATATTTCGAAACGTTGAGTCATAGAATGTAAAAAAAATTATCGTTTAGAATGGTAAAGAGATAACAGGAAATGATAGTTCTTTTCATGAATGATAAACAAAGATTTATTTGGGAGTTTATCTGGAATAGATGTATTCTAAGTAGTGATGACAATCCAAGTACACATAAATTCTCTAAAGCTGTACAGTTCTAGATATAAAATTCTTCATTTCTTTGATAGATAGTTCATTGTCCAGTTAGTTAGTAATCCAAAATTGAATCGTAGGTTACGTCTTCGGTATAGTAAACATTGTTTGTTAAATGTGTTGCGCATACTAAACTATTCCCTACCTCAAAGAAAGAAAACTTGAGTTTATCAAACTCCAGCATGTTATTAGTCTATAAAATCGTATAGGGATGTGCAGATGTTTGGGTTGGTGTATTATCTGAAAATCAGTATCACCGACACAGATCTATTCTTTCTCATCCCATAAATTAGAAGTTCAGTATAGTGGGAAATATTATGTTTTTCTATTGCTATTAATTTTCAACCGTATTTCGCATGTCTAAGGATTCAGTGATCAATGTATTTTACTACTCACGTTTCTCATTAGTATAGGGGTTGTTGGACGTTATTGACATTACTAACCATCCCGAGTTAAAGATCCATTGGAAATCAGGAAACAGTGGAGAAGTGCTTTGTCTTAGTACAAGTTTCTCATCGGTGCACATCCACAACCCAAGACGAGACCGAATCCAAGACTTTTGTTGCCATGTCAGACGCTTGACCTCTAACCCACTGAGCCAACATCTAACGATATAGTAACTTCGAGAAGGTAATTCTGGAATTTTAGTGATAAGTAGTGACCGGCGGAGCTGATTACCCACTAAAAAAAAGAAAAAACGTTGATCAACATTGCTAACTCTCTGAGGTTAAAAATGTGCACGATTGGATGCCGGCTCAATGATTCGCAGGTTAAGCGTTCATACACAAGAGCGAAGGCCTTAGGTTCGATCGCTAGAAGCGGGGTCGTGGATGTGTATTGCTGGAGTTCCTTACTAATACGAAACAGCTGTTTAGTGCTTCCTGGATTTCAGTAATGTTTAACGTCGGTCTGTTCATGGGCATAAATTACGCTTCTATAAATTTCACTTAAGTTTCGATTCCATACTTAACATTGGGCAACATAATCACTGATAATAGATCACAACGAAATCACTGTACCTTTATTGAATTTGAAATCGATTAGGTCATCCATATTTTCACTTTATTTTCAAGCAAAAAAAACACAACAACAACTCGTTTCTATCCTAAAGTACATGTTTATTTCTTATAGTAATTATCTATCCCTTTTTTTTAATATTTCCAACTATCATACTATCAAATATCAACTTTATAATCAATCATTTCATTGCCATTCAATATTCATTGAAATTTGTACACTGAATATCAGTAATTGTTCTCAATAATATCTAGTGTATTCATGAAGTTATTGAAATTCTTTCTTACTTATTAGTAGTCTTCTGTTTAATTTGTTTCATCTTATAGTATTCTCTTCATTTATAATTTATACTATATATATATATATTTGTCTGTGTATTTATACTGTATGTATGCCGGGTTTTTAATTGTAACTCAATTACAATTTACTAGTCTGAACTTTGAATACAGCAATGAATTATAAGACAGTATTCATTATCAGGTGATTGCATATATATATGCCTGTGTATTCAATGACACTATCAGTAATCAATAAATCAAACATAAGAAATTGTAAGTAAAAATGGATGGTGGCTAGTATTGGAATCCAGAACGCGCATTTTGTCCTAATTAGGATTTGTCAGCCGGACGTACCCGCATTCCAAAGTTGATGTTCACTCCGGGACTCGAACCCAGTACTATCCGCTTCAAACGCCATCGCGTTATTCATTTAGCTACTGAGTTTTAATGAGCCCCAAATAGGACGAAACGCGAGTCCTGGATTCCACAGCTAGCCACCATCTATCTTTGCTTATAATGCTTGTGACTTAAGGTAATATCGAGACAATCCGTACAGGATGCAGAAATGCCAATAAAATAGACTGATTGATTATAGTCCTAAAAATAGATGGTAAGATTCAAACAAACAGTACAAAATGAATAAGAAATTGTGCCTAATTATTCTTATAAATATAAATTTAGTCTATCTGTGACAAAATCTTGGTAGGGATATAAAAACCTGATATAACTTTTGCCTGTATGCGTCACCAGAATCACAGGCGAGATTCCTTTCTTACCAGTGAATTAAAGGAGTATACTAGCCAGTATTTTCTCTGTATTGATCTTTGACTATAAAACATGACCTGTGAATTCAGAACACATGCATAATCTTCAAGTCTTTGGTTATACATGACTTCTAAGGATTTTTCGCGCATCGTTTGGCCACCAAGTTAGTATTGCTAAGACCAGATACACGGTAGAAAGTAGAGATAGTAGGTTAAGTGATAATCCGCTAACTACGTTGCTAAGTTCCATATGCTGACGACAATCGGATGTTAGATACATTGGGTTAAACGCTCAGAGTCATCTCCGTTGGGTCCGATAATCTCAGTTTTTGTGTTCCACTAAGTTTTGACATGCCTTGTTATTTCGTAATTCGTAATTCTCGAATTAACTCTTTCTTCTCGAGCCATATTCTTGATTGATATCATTATTTTGACTAATTTGCTATGATATATATGCCTATCAAGTAGGTGAATATTCTCAAAGTCGCTATAACATCGCTCAAAGGTCGTCTATAAATGATAGTCTCACTCATCACACCTTATTCTTACACTTGGAGACTAATTGAATTACACTTATACAAGTAACTTTATAATCACGTGTTGGCTCGACGCACGTATGGTGCAGGATAGATATCAGTCTGTCTGTGTGTGGCGTAAATGCTTCATAGCAATTCACAGTGTATTTACGGATGGTTTAAGTGGAATATAAAGATGAATTTGAAAGATATGATTCAGTCACTAACTTTCAATCACATATGTTGTCGAAATGAGTTAGACAAAGGATATTATTGCTGAAACCCAATATATGTCACTAGTCGATCAACTCTATCGACTATGAAGTCGTGCCCATACCAAGATACACAAGCTTCCTTGATTGTATCCCGTATGATAATTATGATAAGTGAGTGAAGATCTAAAATAATGGAAATTGTAATCCGTCACTTTGTTGAAGATGAATTCATTCCTGATTTTCTTACAACTCTGTAGTTCGAATATTATTTTATAATTCCCATATTTCTTAATGTTATTTTTTTCTTGGCATCTTTTTTTATACTGTAATCATTATTAAGGTTTTTTCCTACACAATAGCTTTTGTTCTTCCATAATAAATTCCTCTCATTATACATACATAAGATGCTGTAATTTAGTCATATCAGTGAATATTTATACTAGGTCCTACTTCTATAATAACTAGCTAAACGACTGACTGACTAAGTTTAAGCGGGAGCTTCTATGAGGTGTTGAAATTGTTTTTTTTTGTTTTTAATATGATCTTCATTGTCTTTTTTCGTTTGCACCATCTCATTAATTTACTAGAAATCAAACGTCAGCATATTGGATTGTTTAAATTTATTCACATCTAAAGAAGAACTAGATGGTAATGAAAGACCCGTAAGTTTCATATTATTATTAACATTTATTTATAATTGTAGACATGTTATTGTTATTTTCATCGTTATTGGTGGTAGCAGTAGTTGTGGTAATGTAGAGAACGAGGATGTGGTGGGGAAAACCAATTTATTGTTTTGTGCAAAATTACAATGTCTTAGTTAAGTATGGAAACTATACATTAAATTCTTCATTTGCACATCCTTCCATCATTTGTCCTTCACATGGTTCATGCTTTCAATCCCGTTGTTATTACAATTACTTTCTGTATCCCTTTCTGTTTTCTTCAGTTTAACCTTATTTTGACAGGCATTCCACTTCTGATTGATGTACATACTACCTATATCTGTCGACGTAAGTAGTATACACAACAGTAGTAGTAATAGTTTTACTGTCAGTTTACTGATTAATGAAAGCCTGTACGATATTATTTTACTAACAATAACATTCTATTAAAAATACAACGGTCAATTCAACTAGTTTAAACATTTTATACAACGAGTTAATAGCACTTTTTGATTGCCTAAACGAAAGTAAGGGAAACCTGTAACTGGTTAATTCATAGTAAGATGTGTTTAGTTGTTTTGACCCGGATTCATACTTTGTTGTGAAAGTATATAGCATGTTCATAATTTGCATAATTAAAAAAGATCAGTTGAGCTGTACTGTTATTTTTATCTTAATTGGTTATTTTATTTAACATTTTCGATGGTAGATTATGGTTATTTTCTAGTTCTTAACCAAGATATCTGAACCCATTGACGGACCTTAGGAAAACAGTCAGTGTTTTAGCGGGTTTATTCTGTGTTTTGGTCCATCAGTTCCTAGTTATTGTTCCCATTGTTCTGTGGATTATACGTCAAGATAATAGTTGATTAAGTATCCATAACACATATATTCCACCCACCTTAGTCAATAAAGATTCATAGCTTCATCAATCGATTTGTCATTTTTATTAAGTACGTTGGATCTTACTTCAGGATTACTCACTTGTTCGTTCCACAATAAACAAGCAATGTTTTTATTTCAGAGATCTGACTAATAAATCCATGCACACATTAATCTTTCGTTCATTTTACAATGAATTAAATTCAAGTAAGCAGAATGCAACTTTCTTGATCATTTTCATTACAGTTCAAAATCGTTTTCAATAGCGTATTTACATTCACTTTTTCCTCCTTAGATCCCAAGTTTTTTAAATGCTTTATAAATTTCCTTTATTTAACCAATTTATATTTTCTGGAATCTTATCGTTGTTACCTAATCTTTCCTATTTCCACTTATATTTCTACTATTGTGGTGTGTGCTACTGATATCGACAGATATAAGTAGTTTGTACCACCAATCGAAAGTGGAATGCCTGGAGGAAGAAGGTTAGGAGAATCGAATAGAAGTGAACGGTAACAGAGAGTGATTGGTATGGAAACGAAGGAACAACAAAGTCTGAGACGATTGATGGATATTTTGCAAATGATGTATTTACTGTATAGTTCTCAGATTTTACCAAGATATTCTGTAATGTTGTATTCAAATACATCTGATACGTTTGGTCAGAACAACAATGAAAGCTTCTCAATTGAACCGCTCAGCTCATGGAATACCTATGCTATACTTTTATCCGTAAAATTTGATTTGTGCGGGAAGTTTTCAGTTTTTCAATGGTGTTCTAGCTTAGATCATCTACAATCTCCACAAATCTTCATACTCATAAAATTAATTCGCATATATATCTATCAAGTCATGGAAACGAAAAATATATGTAATATGATAATTTATTGAACATGTGACTATTATTTTCACTTCATGTCAAAATGTTTTTTTCAGCATGGACATATTCAAACATTACGCATTAGCTTTAATAACGCTATTCATTTTCCAATAGGAAAAGACTACGTTCTATCTTTTCTGTCATAAAATATTGATAAATATCTATCTATTATATTTTACGAGTGTTGGTACAATAAAGAATATGATTTCATTGGGATTATGAGACTACATAGTGTATGTGATGGAAAAGTTGGAAATTACATTGTGGATACCACATCAGTTGAATATATATATCGGACTTAGAAATGATCCGCATAAAACCTTGAGTTTTGGTTATCACTCATAAAAATGTTTGTCCAGTTATGAATGGAAATTGTCACTGTGGATTGGATTCGAATTCGTTCCATAATCACAGATATTATTACTACTGAGCTATTTGAACCAGCTTGATTCTTAAATTCAGTAAGGCTACTTTTCGGTTTATAGAAATGTGTATTTTGTTATCATGACGAATAAGTCGGATTTCCGACTGGTTCGTAGGAGTTGTTTGAATCTTCCCGTTGTTGATGTTGAGGACTAAAATTGATCAATCTTCTCTAGCATATGCGCATCTAGCATTACTACGTATTCATAAACATTTTAAGCTATCTGATAACGACTAGGAGTAGAAATTAGGGGGTTTGTTCCCTCCTATTCGAAACTCGTCAACTACACACGATTACACCTCAGTGTTGGTGTTTACCTTTATTGTGCAAGCTAGTGGATATATTAACTCATTAGCTAAATAGATAACGCGTCTGACGTTTGAAACGAAAGGTTGCCGGGTTCGAGTCCCACTGCGAGTGTCTACACAGCTCCAGATAAACCCAGCTGACAGGTTCCAAAATGGGATGAAACTCACATAGATTCTATAGCTAGCCACTTTCTAACTCTGTTTAAAAGGCAGGTGAATATTTTTACATTAATATTTTATTTTACCCCAATTCTATAAATAGACGGAAGAAATCAATTGCATTTTTCTGTTTTTATTTTTTTATTTTTAAATGAACAGATTTGTAGTCGATGTAAAACTCGAAGAAGATGTACCAAAAGTTTTTCCATTCAGAAATTCCCACAAATTCTTGTACTTCGTATCCTTTTTACTGTTTTGCTGGATTTAGTCATTTTATTAAAAGGGAGAAAGTTATTAGTTATTTATATTTTGGAAGAATCTGTAGTATATTAGCATATTTTCGACTACGTGATTCATTGATGTCCTACAGGATGGGTATAATAGTTATTTCGCCTTATCTAAATATTTATTTATAGAATAAAGTACATCTATTAAGTTGTAGTATTTGTTTCAATGTCTTTCTAACTTTACTGTGGCTAACTATTCAGTAAGAAGAGTAACTGATATACATTATGCTAGTCTAAAATCATACTTCATCCTCCATGTTCTAATACTATTTTTCTGGTCACCAAACTTAAATGTTAGTCGACGTCGTGCTTGTTTGGTTCCTAAGTGCTGATTGAATCCTATCAATCAATTTCCAATATAATAATCACTAGTCTAAGTGACTGAACACTGCATGAACAATGTTTCGATGTAACATCGTTGAAGGTATCTGGCAGAAAGCTATGAACCCATGTCTCTTGTTAGTTAGTTCTTTTCGTCAAGGTGTGATTAAGAAGGAGGTCAGTGACATTCAGAATAATTTAATGGTAACGATGTACTTTCGAATCCAACAGAGCATAAATTTCCATTAAACTTCAAGTGAACCTTAATGACAAATGCCAGTTATTATGAAACCCATGTTCAGCGTTTCCTGTCAATTATCTTCAATCGAGGTACATTGAAACGTTGTGCCCTGTTGTCGAAAGACGAAATCTCGCTATTGATGTTCGTTTGATAAGCAGTTTATTTCTCTTTATTCTTATGTAAATATTTAATGTTTGAAAATGGAGTATTAGAAATGTCATAAAAATGCCTTTATCTACATGTAGAGGCTTACCCGACCGTCGCTGCTACCTTGACGTGGTGGTTGGGCTTGCCTATTGTGATGAACCAATCGAGCTATACTGGCTGGAAAAACTGTTCCTCAAGGTCTTACTATGCCAGATAGGTCGGTTGAACAACGGTAGAACTAGAAGCAGCAAACACAAAGTCCGAGAGCGAGGTCGTACTGTTGATTGTACAAAGGTGTGACGGCAGTAAGGTGTTTCCTCCAGACAACCAGCATGACAGCGATGCTGCCTTCCCACAAAGAATGGGTGGGGTTAGAAAAGGTCGACCATAAAAACGCACACCCCACCTTATCCCACGGATATCCGTCTTCGGCGATAAGGTGTCAACAATACGGAGCTAACACAAAAATTACTCACAAAAGGTTGTGTGTGACTGACCTCAAGCAGTTGTCCCTTGGGCACTGCGGTCACGCTCTCAGGTCACTAAGACCACCTTTTCAGGTACCTCTAGAAGAACTCTTCCACGGTGTGGGCAACCGAGAAGTGATAACCGCCCTCATACCTCGAACAGCACTCAAGACCACTGTATTCCTAACCAACCTCAGTCTTCACTTCTTAATACTCCTCCTACGTCGACTTTCACCTCTAAACTTCCTTTTTCGGCTTCCTCCTCAAATGTCACCATAGCCAACGATTCTAGTGCTCAAAACACTGTCCCAAGTCTACTGAAACCTCTCTCCAAACTACACATTGGAGCCTTCAACGTACGCACCCTATGTCAAATCGGTCAGCAGGCTTCCTTGGCTAAAACCCTAGAGTCTCTTACCATTGACGTGTGCTGTGTCTCCGAAACACGCATACAGGATTCCAGTGTGGTCATTCACTTGACCTCACCTCGGCAAAACGGAGAGCCAACGAGGTACACCCTTCGTGTATCTGGTGACCCGATGGCCAGTTCTCGTGGACTGGCAGGTGTAGGCATAGCACTAAGCATGAGGGCCGAACAAGCACTGCTAGAGTGGATCCCCGTCAACAGTCGTCTATGTGCTGTTCGGCTAAACGGCTCCGTAAGAACTCGGAAGGATAGGGACACACGTCGTTGCCTTTTCGTCGTTTCTGCCTACGCTCCCACTGACTGCAGCTCAGATGAAGTGAAAGATGAGTTTTACAGAAAGCTGTCCGAACTTCTTCAGAAAGCTAAACGCTCAGACATAGTACTCGTAGGGGGTGACTTTAATGCTCAGATAGGTAGTTTAAACCAAACAGAAAAGCATTTAGGTGGATATTTTAGTATCCCGGCACAGCGAACAGATAATGGTGACCGTCTGCTGCAACTGTGCTCAGACAATCGTTTATTTTTAGCAAACACAAATTTTAAGCATAAGGAGAGACACCGTCTAACATGGCGACCCCCTACACCAAACCAACGATGGACTCAAATGGACCATATTGCCATCAGTCATCGTTGGAGAGGGTCGGTTGAAGATTGTCACTCATTCTGGAGTACCTGCTTGGACTCCGACCACGCCCTAATACGGGCACGTATCTGCTTGCGCCTCACTGGACGCAAAAAAGCCACATTAAAAAGACCCGTTAGAACTGAGTTGAGTAACGAGAAAACCAAAAGTAGGTTCCAGGAACAACTGAGGTCATACTTAGGTAGTTCTGAAAACGAGGCTGACCCAGATGTTGCTTGGAAAGGCAAACAATCAGCTGTAGAAACAGCAGTGACATCTATTAGTGACTTAAACCACAGGGTTACAAAGAACCAGTGGATTTCTTCAAGGTCTATCACACTGATGGATTCTCGTAAACTCGTCCCATCAGGTTCCGAACATGAGGAAGAGCGACAACAAATCAGATCTAGGTTAAGAAAAAGTCTAAGAAACGACCGTGAGCAGTGGTGGACAACGAAAGCAAAAGAGATGGAAAAGGCGGCGACTATAGGGAACACAAGACAGCTTTACAGACTAATAAAAGAAACTGGAATTAATAAGTCAAGTGTAAGTGAGATTATTTCGGAAAAAGACGATACACTCATCTGCTCCCAGTCCAGGCGTTTAGAACGATGGGCGGAACATTTTAGAGAACAGTTCAACTGGCCTTCAGCTACTCTACAACTACCCTGCATTCCCAGACAATGTGAATGGAACATTGAAGTAGGTCCCCCAACTCTTGCTGAAGTTCAAAAGGCTATAGTTAATCTGAAACGAGGAAGGGCAGCTGGTCCAGATGGATTGGCTCCAGAAGTCTCTAAGGATGGTGGTGCAATTTTAGCGATTAGGTTGACTAATATTTTAGCTAAGATCTAGGAGTTAGACGTTATTCCATCTGACTGGTCGCAGTCACTTATCGTCCCAATATATAAGAGAGGGTTAAAATCATCCTGCGACAACCACAGAGGGATTAGTTTAACTAATATAATATCTAAAATACTAGCCTCGATAATTATCAGACGCCTAACTAAGACTCGTGAACTGCAAACACGAGAGAACCAAGCTGGCTTTAGACCTGGTCGTGGCTGCATCGACCACATATTCACCATTCGTCAGGTTCTAGAACACAGGCATACCTATCGGCGTCCGACGATGGTGGTCTTTCTCGACTTAAAAGCAGCATTTGACTCGGTAGACCGCGAGATTCTGTGGCAGTGTCTGTCATTGAAAGGCGTACCTCAGAAGTACATAAACCTTGTAAAGGCTCTTTACTCGAACACTACTAGTTGAGTCAGGGCTTATGGCGAACTGTCATCTACATTTGCAACCTCAAGTGGTGTCCGTCAAGGCTGTCCACTTTCCCCATTTTTATTTAACTTTATCATAGATCTACTGATGAAAATAACTTTCTCGTCGACTGAGTTCTCGGGTATTGATCTCCATCCAGGAGGTCCACTTATCGACTTAGAATACGCAGATGACATAGTCCTGTTTGGTGAAGACGCTGACAAAATGCAGAGTCTTCTGGTAGCACTGAGCAACAATGCCAGAATGTTTGGAATGCGCTTCACTCCCTCTAAATGCAAGTTGTTGCTTCAGGACTGGTCTGTGTTAACACCTGAACTAAGGATAGGGAGTGAAGTAGTCGAACGTGTTGACAACTTCACTTATCTTGGAAGTGTGATCAGCCCTAATGGGTTGGTATCAGACGAAATCTCAGCACGGATTCGAAAATCTCGTTTGGCTCTTGCCAACTTACGTCACCTTTGGTGAAGGCGAGATATCCGTCTATCAATAAAAGGACGAGTATACTGCGTGGCAGTCCGTTCTGTTTTAATTTACGGGAGCGAAACATGGCCATTAAGAGTAGAAGATACTCGTAAGCTACTGATGTTTGACCACAGATGCCTTAGAAATATTGCTGGCATCTGCTGGGATCACCGGGTAAGTAATAGTGAGGTTAGATCCAGAGTATTAGGGAATGATGGTAAATCAGTTGATGAGGTTATGAATCTTCATCGACTGAGATGGTTGGGCCACGTGTTACGTATGCCTGAACACTCATTACCACGACGTGCAATGCTAACCGGTGTTGGAGATGGTTGGAAGAAAGTAAGGGGTGGCCAAACCAAAACGTGGCATCAGTGCTTGAAGTCACCAACTTCTGGTCCGAGCCATGTTGGTGGATGCAGACTACTTGGTTGGGGTCCGCGTAACTATCGTAACCAATGGTTGGAGACTCTTGGTGACATGTCTCAGAATCGATCACAATAGCATCGGTGTATGTACTCTTTGTCTTCCCCTGAACTATGAGATTAAAATCGCTTCATATCTTTCTTTTTACGAACTAATTCTTTCTTCCTGTATTATGTCCTTATTTACAATGTTTCTTTTACATATTACTACCATGGAACTAATTACTTCTATGAATTCGGTGTTCATCTTGTTGTGTTAATGAGATGTGGCAACTTGAACTGATGCATATATGTGTCTGATCCTACGTTGTCGCTGACTAACTGACAATAATCAAACATTGTCTACAAAATTATCAAGTGATACTAACATACTAACAAGTTAATTTTTACAATCCCATTTATTTACTTTTTTTATAATTTTTTTGGTACACATCCAAACATCTTTAGGTTTCTTATACATTTTGTACACTGAACCCCTACATAGAAAGTGAAAAATGATTATTATAACAGTTTGAATAAATATTATTATACATAATTAACGAATGAATATACTGAATTTCTACTATTTTCTGCCAAACTTAAAACAAACTTTACAGAAAGAAATGACGCCAGAATTTTTCTCTCTCTTTTTCTCCTTCTCCTCTTCCTCCTCCTCCTCCTCATCATCATCATCATCACCACCACCATATTTTCTTCTTTGTTTTACAAGGAAGTATGCATATACACATGGTACCATGTATATTTGTTTTGTTTTTTTCAAAGTACACATCTCATCCCCTTAAAAAGTTGTATTACGTTAGCTATTATAACATAATATGATATTGAAATTTTCAAGCGGCTTACTTAAATGATAAATTCAATACTTTCCATACTTTGGTATGGAAATCGTTAAAAAATAGTTGTATTAGTTAGAAAACAAAGTGATGTAATACAATGTGGAATATAACATTTTAGGTATTATTAATTGTAATGTGTTGTAGTATTTCGTTGTTAATAGTTTACACTGAATAAGATCATTTACCATTGATACTTTTTGAGCTTTGCGCTACTTACTGATAAGGATAAATATAAGTAGTATTTAATAGGAATTAGAATTGAAATGTTTATCAATAGAAGATTGAAATAAAGAAACGAGGACTCAAAACAAAAAGCAATCAGTGTAACAATAGAATTGGAAGAATGGTAGAGTATGTATAGGACAACTCAAAGAAAATAAGCAAATTATGTATTCAATGTATGATTTTTAATTTAAGTATATATATATATAGGTGGTGAACGACAGATAGAACGTAAGGCTAGTTCCGGATAATAAAGTACAGTAATGCATAAATTGTTCTTAATGATTTTTTAAAACTGAATTCTGGTTTCCTTCTGTGAACTTTCATTATATTTGTCTAGAATATTTTACTTATTACCAATATCATCTTATTGATATGCTAAGGTTAAATGAACAGATAAATAGATTGGATATCAATATATAAATTAGCACAAAGTTTGTCGGTCTATATGATGTAAATTAAAACAGAAGGAATTCTATTATATATATATTGAAGATAACTGGAGAATGCATGCCAATTTACAGGAATGATTAGATTGATACTGAAAATAATAAGGATAAAGATATAAGATTAAATTTCAATAGTTGAAATCATGAGTCAATTGAAGCTAGAGCACCATGGAAAACCTGGTAGCACTGGACGGCCATTTCGTCCTATTGTGGGACTCCTCAGAAGTGCGCATCCACGATCCCACCCCCTGCGAGATTCGAACCCAGGAGCTATCAGCCTTAACCACTAGAAAATGGTGGGCGGTAGTGCAGTTTCGTGGATTGGTTGAAGTTAGACACTAACACCGTTCGATGCAGGCCAGTCCAGTGGTCTAATGGTTAGGCGCTCGCTCACGAAACTGATAGGTCCTTGGTTCGAGTCTCGCAAGGCGGGATCGTGGATGCAAATTGCTGAGGATGGAATGGCCGTCCAGTGCTTCCAGGTTTTTCATGGTGGTCTAGCTTCAATTGACTCATAATCTCAACTATTAAAATTATTATGATATCCACAAAACCCCTTCTGATAATAAGATTAAATTGTTTAGAAATGTGTGGTTCGTAAGCTGTTTTGAGAGGACACTTTTCCCCTTAAGATGATTGAAGTAATATGGGGCAACAGTTAAGGACCAGTTATTTTTAGTAAGGAAAAGATCAATAAAATCTTGTAAATATATCGTATACAGAAGAGTATTCTGAAACATTGATATTAGTAGAATACCAAAAGGTTAGAAATAATTGATTATCGAATGATCAAACACTAATGATAAGTAAGAAGTCTAGTCATTTATTCGTAAAATTATGAGACTAGAAAAGATTATTTTGGATTATTTTTTCTGGTAAGCGTTTTTTTAGCGAGTTAGTTTTCTACGGGATGGGGACGCTAACCCCATGCCCAACCCTCCTCCTTTACCCGGGCTTGGGACCGCCAGCAACCCTATAAAAGCTACAGGCGGAGTTGACTAGAAAAGAATATAACATAATTTGATAATGTTCAGAATCTTTTCAACTCTCATAATAAGTTTTGTGCATAATGGTCATCTGAAATGATAATGCAGCCAAATATATTATCCATTTCTTCCCATTACTCTCTAATAAAACTTCATAATTAATACGACGTTACCCGCAGATATTTTCTAGCCTACAAACATTTCAATGTATATAAAAAAACATCATTCTTCTATATTATGTGTGTTTGGAATTTCTTCTTAACTAAAATGATCATAGATTTGAAACGTTTCTCTGGTGAACGTTTTCGTTCGAAAATGTCGGTTATGGTTGATTATCCTTTAAGAAATTTAGATCTCATTGGATTTGCTACTTCAAGTTGTAAGTTATTTTATTATATTTTATGTATGTTTTGTGGTACTTTTTATTCATAATGTCAAACAGCTATAGCCGACGTAAAACTGGATACAAAGATGTAATTTCATTCCGATTTGAGAAGTCGGTAGATAATAACAATATATAATTCAATGAAAAGTCGAAGGATGACAAACAGTCAGTAACTATAATGATTAATACTATATCTTCCTTTGATTGTCCCTATTCTTTATTTAAACTTTCTATGTTAACCAATGTTGCTTATCAAAGTGCAGTAAACGATCAAGTATAATGTTTATTTTATTAATTATTTATTTTAACACATAGATATAGGTACAAGGAGGCACCAAATACATATGCGCGACACAAATCTCATTTGATATGTGTGAGGGCTGTGATACTACCCGGGTGCCCAAACCGAAGCAGGTGGTTTTCTTAGGGGGACATACCCGGAGCCTTCGACCTGAAGGTCTGATCCACAAGGCAGTGGAGCATCGTAAGGAGATGCAGTCCCATGGTAGCCGGTGACCAACGATTGGTTCATACGTCATTTGTTCCTTCAGGACCCTGGAGCCCATGTGCACCATTGGTTTGGAATCAGGGTTTTCCAAGTCCTCTAGGTGGACACTCCATGTCCACCAACCAGGTTGGAGAGCCGTACATTCGCTTCTCGTCCTCTCAATTTTGTAGCAAACACCCCCACTACGAGAAGACAGTGAGTAGGACTTCCCTGGCAGAGTCTATATACACGTGGCCATGTGAGGTCATTTCGAGAGGGAGATCGGACTCTCCCCACTCTCGGCCGTCCCAGGGCATTTGGGGGCTTGTGATTAATATATGATAATAATTTGTATTACATTTTGTAAGATTTGTATAATAAATCTTTTTTCTGAACTTAGAAAACAGATTTTTAAACATTATTCAATTAGAATTACGAAAGGCTCACCGACAAAACTTTGCTAAAGTTTATTCAAAGAGTACCCAGTTATATTATTGATTAGGTATTTGAACTGAAAACAGCTATATTTTTTTTAGTGTAGAGATTGATAAAATGCAGTCTCGTAAACTCCGTGGGCCATAATAAATAGATGTTAGAAATACATTTTTCCTTTTCTAAGTATAGAATGTCGCTTCACCAACACCTTGCTCTAATTCCTAATCTAACCGTAAGAATTATGGTAATCAACCATGTTGGGCATTTCACTCCTTTTGGGGTTTTTGTCATGTCATACAGGCTGATAAGGTCTTGACGTGGATACAAAACTTGCTTAGCTTTTCGAAGCTTGTCCTATTCGTAGCGCACTCGAGACATTTGTCTGCCAATGAAAGATTGAGGACACTGTGCATCAGTGTCTGTGAGGTAAAGGTCTTAATAGTCCAAGTTTTCGCATAGTTTGAGAGTGTTTAACTGAAAGTATCTTTAGAACTGGTTCATATCTGTTTTGTTTAAAATACCCAAAATATTCAACCACATAATGGAAATTTGCTCATCTGTATCAAACATTATAGTTGTAAATATTGAAATAATTTTATTGGTTATAAATAGATATTTTTCTGATTAACTATTACATCGCAACAATTTTCAACTAACTTATTTATAGTGATAATTCTTATGAACAGAAACTATACTTGCTTAATTTATCTAAGATTGGCAATTATTTTTATTTGTCATTATTACTCTACACATAGTTTCTGTGATTATTTCATTTTTCATTAACTGTACATACTAGTATAATATCACATATATGGTAATAATAATAGCAATAATAATAATAATAATAATAATAATAATAAGAAGAAGAAGAAAGTGAGAAGCAGTGACCAGTGGAGTTCAACCGGGTCTGTTGTGAGATAGTAACTCACTGGAGACAATCGTGCATTGATTGAAGTTAGACATTATCACCGTTGGATGCCGGCCTAGTGGTCTAATGGTTAAGCGCTCGCGCGCGAGGCTGATAGGTCCTGGGTTCGAGTCTCGCGAGGCAGGATTGTGGATGAGCACTGCTGATGAGTCCCACAATAGGACGAAATGGCCGTTCAGTGCTCTCAGATTTTCCATAGTGGTCTAGCTTCAATTGACTCATGATCTCAACTATTAAAATTTCTAGAATCCCCACAAACCCCCTTCTGATATTAATAATAATATTAATAATGATAATAATATCGTTATGATCGTTATATAATTGATTATAATATTAGTTTCAAGTTTATTTGTCAATTTCTCGGTTTTGAGCATATACTGTTCTAATCAATTTATGTAATAATATCTTTATTGAGTCCATTTCAAAGTGCTCATCCACTTTCGAGGAGTTCCCATACTGGGACGAAACGGCCGTCCAGTGCCCACAGTTTTTCAATGGTGGTCTATTATTGATCTATTCATGATATCAATCTAAACTCAACAATCTCCACAACCCTATACTGGTGTATTTTTAATGTAGAGTTGTATATTATTTGTTTGTACCATTAGTGATTTATAAACGCACTTCGATTAAAATGAAAGTAATTTGAATAGTTATGGTTTGAAAATGTGTTCTCATTCTGACTCGGAATATTTTATCAAGTAATGAAGGAGGTTCATTGTGTCATTGAAGAATGATGATAATTCAGCGAAGAAAAATTTCTTTTCGATAATTTCATTTACATATGTTGTACAATCGTCTTTATAGTTAATTTCCTATTCAAAAATAGTAGTCCATAGTAAAATAGAATAGGGTCGAATGATTATGGAGAAAAAAATTAAAGTGGTATGTTGTCATGAATTGTTTATGAAAATTAGATATTGAAAGGAAGTTATGTAATAATTGGTTGATGAGAAGTGTTACTGTGACGATAATCGTTCACTTGATAGCTATTATGAGCGATGCATATCTATCATTTTATTTGCTCATATGAAGCATGTTATATTGGCCGCACAAAGCGAGCTCTCTGAACTTCTAAAGGATTACAGAAGTCAATCAAAAGCTCAGTCTTAGAACATCTAGTTGATTCTGGCCACCTTACTTCACCAGAAACCTCATTGAAAATCATACATACAGTCAGAAGAGTCGGCTTAAAAAGAATGCAAATGAAAAACTTATGTACATCAGAGGCTATTGCTATCCACCACTTTAAAACTCACCTTTGCATACATAAACAGTATATTCAATCTCTCATTCTTACATTTTCTCAACCTTCCTTTCTATCTACCATAATTTACATGTTTGTTTTTTTCGAATTATCATTTCTACTCCTTTTCAATTATTTTCACACCTATTAATTATCCATTAGTACAACCTTTAATTATTCTATTCTTAATGGCTATCAAGTGGACGATGATCGTCACAGTAACACTTCTCATCAACCAATTATTACATAACTTCCTTTCAATATCTAATTTTCATAAACAACTCATGACAACATACCACTTTAAATTTTTTCTCCGTAATTATTCAACCCTATTCTATTTTACTATGGACTACAATTTTTGAATAGGAAATTAACTATAAAGATGATTGTACAACATGTGTAAATGAAATGATAGAAAAGAACATCTTCTTCTCTGAATCACTTTCTTTATCAAGTCTCCTGCATATAAGCACTTAAGGAACTAAACCCGATAACATTCAATTTGTTTTCAGAAATCACATGATATATTTCAACAATGGAGTCGGAATACTATAAGTTATATTTTCAACTTAAATCTCGTTTCTGATGTAGTTTACTTCACAATTAGGACTTATGGTGAAGAACATCAGCAACAAAACTAATTACAAATAAACATATCATTATTTTTTTAGCAAGATGAGTGGCTTTAATCTATCAAGTGTATCATATTTTTCATTGATTTTATTTATCCTAACAATATTTAGAGCGATTTAATATGTAACATCTAATCAAGTAAGTGATCAACTGGCAGATAAATAAAAGCTAACTTCAGGAACCCCTAGACACAGGATTTGTAATAGTTATCACTCATCTAGAGAGCGGTTCTGCAGTCTTATGGAAATCGATGTTCCCTGTTAGATTCAATTCTGAAACACCTAGTTTCATAGTGTGTGATGTGACCGTTGTGTTACATAGGTCGTAACTGATTTGTAAGCCTTAATTATTTACACTGGATGATAATAAGTTGCAACTAGTATTATATTTGTAGGTAATACTCATCATAGATCGCTCATATTTAAAGTGTAATTAGAAACTAGGATAGCTGTTTTAACCTAGCGCTTAGCTTCTCAGTAGTGTGCGTCCAATACCCCACTGGCGATTAATCCCAAGACATTGAGGTCTTGTGGAAAGCGCATAGCCGGTAGAGCTACTGGGTTGGGGTCCAGTGGTACTATTCGAAACTTAGTCAGTTTGGTATGAAGCTATAAGGTTATGCAAAGCGGTTGTGGATAAATGTTTCACTCCGACATCTTTCAACTTCAGTAGTTTTGATTTCTCACTAGAACTTGCGTTACACCTTGAAATAAGTCATTAGTGAGCTGGTATTTTAAATGCGATACATCTGTTACGAGTACCATCACTACATTATATCAACCTCCATAAAACGCCTTCAAATAAACAATGTGATATTTGTTCAGTTCTTAGTGCTGGTCAAATTTTTGTCAATTTAATTGCAATATGGGTGTTAGCTTAAGTAATTTGACATGGGATCGTTTAGTGCTAATTACTGGAGACAATCAATAAGGTGAATAGTGTTTCCGCCAGACTTGCAGTTACATCTTGCTGGCAAATATCAGTGAGCACAAAAAATTATCCCTAGGACCTAATGATAACCTCAAATCCCACCTAAGAACAAGAAAAAGTATGTGCACTCAATATCGAGTCTTATCGTGTTATTGAAGCTTGATAACCATTAATGACCAGTTAAACATGACATCGGCTGCTGTTATTAGTCAGGAAAGTTGAGCAGATGCATATTTATTTCATGATCTACATTGTTGATGACCAAGTATTTGAAGTCAACTAGAAACATTTATTGTACGGTGTGTTTAATTTCAAATTTAGTTCTGTTGTCTTTCTGTGATTATTTCGGCTAGTTTGGAGGTAAATGGTAAGGCGTATCTCTTTGTATTATGGACTAATTATTACTGTGATAGAAAACGACTTAATCAGAAATCATAATTCAAAGCCGTTGTTTGATAAAGTAGTAACGTCTGTATATATGAAAATTATATTTGAAATGATCTCAGCGATTGAAATTTAAATAATTTCAACGTTTCGGCCAACTAACTTATCTGGACTTCTTCAGGGTAATAATCGAAATCAAAATCATCAAAAATATATATATAGCTTTCTAACAATCAAAACTATACTCGGCGCCCGATTTCTGTCAAACTATTCGTTCTAATCTTGACGAATATTCGTACAAAATAACGTCTGTACTTCAAATTTTGATTAATACTGCTACGTGCTCTGAATAGTTTTGTTGGATTATTTGTTCTTCTACTCAACCACTCAGGATAAATTATTTAATGATCGAACAACAGTCAGTGTCCGTAGGTATGACATGTGCTTTGCACGTTGTAAGTGCTGTGTAAGTACTGGCGGTGGCGTGAGTGATGAGATCAATTCACGTATAGTTAATCTGGTCCATTTTGGGCGCATATGTGGTGTTAGTCTGTCTGTAAAAGGTCGGATCTACAACAGATCAGTAAAACCAGTTTTGCTCTATGCTTGTGAAGCCTGGCCTCTCCGAGTTGAGGATGTTAGACGACTCTCTGTGTTTGATCATTGTTGTCTCCGAAGGATTGCTGACATCCAGTGGCAACACGATGTTAGTAATGCAGAGATTCGGCAACGTGTGTTAGGGCACAGCGAAGATACTTCATTTAGTGTCACCATCTTAGAAAACCGACTTCGATGGCTTGGATATGTTACAGGAATATTGTCCCAGAGCATTCCACGTCGTGTATTATTTGCCGATGGTGGGACCTGTTGAGAAAAGCGGTGATGTGGTCAGTACATGACATTGTGTTCTGATGTGAAGGAAAGCTGTGTAGGACTGGCTACTATTGATCTTTCGTATTTACCACCGATTTATTTGCTGTCAGGAAAAGCTCATCCCTTTTATATTATAAATCTATTCGACCGTAAAATAGTGCACAGTAATAGCTTATTGTGAAATTGATTACATGAGCCATTTTATTGATTTATTTTTCGAAATTTAGGCACTCAGAAATCAGCCCAATATAAATTATACGCAGTTTCAAATCACAGTGGAAGTGTTTATACCGGACACTACACTGCATCTTGTTTAAATCCTTATACAGGTGATTGGCATTCATTTAACGACAGTCAGTAAGTTTCGTTTAATGAATGATAATTATATTTTACAAATTCAACTCAGCAACTGACTGATGCAACATTTGAGGTTTGTTCTTTTCAACACTGGATCGAATTAAGGACCATCATTTCTTGTAACTGGCAAATGCTTTCTGAGTATTGAGTAGTGATTCAATAGTTCACAAAATAAAGCGAAAATAATTAGATGTTGCTGTTACGTGTAACTGTATTACTCTTGATATGGTTCATTAAACATGTTACAGCTTTTCAATAGAGCTACAAAAAAATCAATCTCAAAACATTTACACAATTTGTTCACAATACAATAGCTTGATGGTCTAATGATTATTGTGAGATCATATGGTATTTTGTTTTGGTTAAAAGTGTGCTTCACTTTGTGATCTCAATAAGAATGAAATTGCTATACCATTACACCAGGGCTTTCAGTCATCCTTAAACTGTCTATAGCGAAAACTGAACTTACTTTTTTTCAATTTAAGCAACAATAACAGTAAGAAAAAAGAATAAACTTAACTACAATCTAAGTATTTTATTACATTCAGTGATTGAACTTAATTGACAGGATATCCTGAACATAGATTTCATGCTAACTAACACTTGTCAACTAAGTGTACTTACAAACTTTAGAATACTAGTTGATTCAAACTCTCACTACTGAATTTCAATTTTGAGAAATATTATAACTGAGCTTTTAGAGACTTGAATAACTTTCTGATTACCCTTCATGAAGATCAATTACAAATAAAAATAATTCTATGAAATCTATTAATATCGTCTAAATTACTAAGACTAGTCACAATTAGTTATATAAAAGAATGGATATGCACTGATGAGGAGTCTCACAATAGGACGAAACAACCATCCAGTGCTTTCGGTTATTTTCAATGAAAAAGGCATAATAATTATTATTCTCATATTGAATTATTTGATTAGATGAATTAATTAAATATTTAAGCATCGTTTTCATTTTTTCTTCTCTTTTCATATTTCTTAATTTTGTAATAGTGTACATGCAATCTCAGAGAACTCAGTTGTTTCTGCTGAAGGTTATGTACTTTTCTATACACTTATTCAATGAATTATTTATTCACTAAATTGGTTTTCTTCTTTCTTTCTTTCTTTTTTCTCTCTTTTTTGTTTGTTCTTCTTTATTGTTTTTTTATTCATTTTTGGTTTGTGTATGATGAAGTTTTGAAATTGAAGAATTTTTCTTTCAACTAATAGTAATAAAACTTATTTCATATATAGAGATATACACTTGAATGTAGATTGTATTATAGTGCCTAATGTAATTGTTTTCAAGTTTTCAATTGATCTCTTATTACATATAGACATTTAGTTATTAGTATTATCTTAATGTGGTTATTTTCTGATTGTTATTGTGCATAATAATAAGACTCAATTTAATATGATTATTTGAGTTCACTATTGTATGGGCTTTCATGAATGGAAAACAGCTATACATATATATATCTATGTATAAAGAGAGAAGGAGTCAAATGAAGCAATGATTAATGATATGTAATTGTAAACTGATTAAATTAATTGGGACCTTAGTAGTATATATACATATAACTTCCTCTTTCTAAGTGATTAACATACCAGTATATTGTAAATTGTTGTGTATTATTGTTCCTATTTAAGCATCCATGGACCATGTACAATACTGATATATTATATATATATATATATATATATATATATATATATATATGTATATCATTGTACTATCTTTTTAATATAATGTGATTCACTACTACTCTATTGCTACTCTACACTTACTAACACTAATACAACTGCTTAATTTTTCGACTTAGGGCTGTGATGTTTATTATATTTTCATTGTAAAAAAGAAAAGAACAATCTATACCACCTTTTTATTACTAAATAGATTAGATTACAACTAATAATTGTATTCTATAAGAATACAATATATATGACAAACAAACAGATAAAGATCATATTAATCTTTACCTTTAAACAAGAGACATATTCATATTTCTTTTTAAGGATTCGCGTAAAAACTGCTTCTGTATTATTATTATTATTATTATTATTATTATTATTATTATTATTATTGATTTAATAAACAATAATAATAACAGTAATAGCTCAATTCTTGAATGAATTTACTTCTCCTTTTCACACTGTATGTTTTCAACATTCAATTGATTGTACCATCTATTCTTGTTCAGAGAAAAGATAGTGGATGGAATTACAGTATTACATAATAAAACATTACAGATTTTCAAGTGTATACATTCATCTATCTATATATATATATATGTAATAAATAAATGTAATTTATTATTACTTATATATTTTTAAGTGAATAAATGATTTATTTTTTGTTCATAAATTCATCAATTGTTATATCTTCTGCATTGTGTCCCTAATCATGTATAATGTGATGATACCGTCGCCAATTGGAGAATAATGATTTATCGATCGGACCAATGAAGCGTAAAACCTTTACGAGCAGTCTCGAGTCCTTATTAGGACTGCCTCCACCATATCAAGCATGTATTTCAAACATACTGGGTTTATATACAAAACCAAACAGACTACATCGTACCATAAAATAGAAAATAACATTTGTACAAGATTTAGCCAAATGTGGCTGTGAATGTGGGAGATAGAAATTGATACACTGGGCATAATTCAAGAATTGTAAATGGTATAATAATAGTTCTGAAGTCAAAATAAGGCTCACAATAAGAGGAACACGAATGTGAATAGTTTAGTTACATAACAATTATACGATAAAAATATACGTATAGTATTGGTCCATAAATGGATCCCAAAAGTTACTATTAATTATTCTCATCGGGATATAACATTACTCATTTGTTATTTTATCATTGTAAAGAAGTTCTTGTTACAGATAATGTTATTATGAAGTTGAGTGATCAACGAAACTAATTGTAATCTACTAGTATTTGACCACAGACGCCTTAAAAATATTGCTGGCGTCTTCTGGGATCACCGGGTAATTAATAGTGAGGTTAGACGCAGAGTATTAGGGAGTGATGGTAAATCAGTTGATGAGGTTGTGAATCTTCATCGACTGAGATGGTTGGGTCACGTGTTACGTATGCCTGAACACCGATTACTACGGCGTGCAATGCTATCCGGTGTTGGAGATGGTTGGAAGAAAGTTAGGGGCGGCCAAACCAAGACGTGACATCAGTGCTTAAAGTCACCAACTTCTGCTTCGAGCCAGAATCGATCACAATGGCGTCGGTGTATACACTCTCTGTCTTCCCTTAAACCGTGAGATTAAAATCACCATATCTTTCTTTCTACGAACTAATTCTTTATTCGTGTACTATATCCTTATTGCAATCTTTCTTTCATACATTACCACTTCTGAATTAACTACTTTTATGAATCCGGTGTTCATCTTGTTGTGTTAATGAGGTATGGCAACTTGGACCGATGCATATATGTGCCTAGTCCTACGTTGTAGCTGACTAACTGATTGTAAATATATGTTGATTCTAATACTTCAGTACTGGAAATAGATTATAATTATGTGAACTCTTTAGATACGTGTTGATATTCTTATCAAGAATCGAATCCGTTACTATTAGATTCAGATGACGCGTACTATAGATTAACGCAATGAGTTATGATTATCAGATTATATATATACTTGTAAGGGGTCATGTTTTCCCTTTGTTAATATTCACAAATGTATTTTACCTCTGTTTGCCCACCTTCACCAATTGATAGTGCAGTGCTAGCGCTAACGTGAGTTCAGATTATTTAGATTTTTCGTCAAGAGAAATCACTTTTATGTAATAGGGATAACAGTGGTAACATTTTTCTATTTCATATTTCCATAATGACTTTTACAGTTGTCTGATTGGTTATTGTCACTTTTAGCTTGTAATTTTTGTTACGTTTCAACGTCTACGCCATTTTATAAAATGTACGAAGTTTTTACATTTTCATTTCGAATTTGTTAAGTATCAAGTCCTTTTTGTTTAAGTCTTCCTGTCTTCTTCTTGGGTTATGGGTAATTTTCATCTGCTCACTAGTAATTGAATTCAAGAGATACTCCTGGAGTTCTAGTGAGAAGCCGTTACCAGTGCAGTTCAACCAGGTCTGTTGTGAGATATCAACTCACTGAAGACAATAGTGTACAGTGGCGCAACTTCGTGGATTGGTTGAAATTAGGTATTAACACCACTAGATGCCGGCCCAGTGGTCTAGTTGGTTGAGCGGCTGGCGCGAGACTGATAGGTCGTGGGTTCGAACCCCGCGGGGTCGTGGGTGCGCGCTGCTGAGGAGTCCCGTACTTGGACGAAACGGCCGTTCAGTGCTCCCAGGTTTTCCATGGTGGTCTAGCTTCGATTGGCTGATGATTTCAACTATTGAAATTTCTAGAATCCCCACAAAACCCATTCTGATAAAAATGGTAAACGTTCGCATCTGTTACGACATATATACCTCGAAATTTTGTTATCTGCAAATTAGAAAGGTCATTTAATGAAAGTCAGAATGATTTGGAGTAAATTGTTCAGTCACAATCAGTAGAATAGTCATTTAGCAAAAATGAAAATGCCAAAATTTGTGTGAATAAAATGCATAGTAGGAGGATTTCATCTTGTTAATTGAGGTAATAATGATAATAGTGATAGTAATAATATTGTTGTGTGAATATAATATGTAATAAGAGGGGTGTTATCAAGGTAATTACGATAAACGAATTGGGAATGGTGGATGTGAAGTTCAAGATGGAGGTAATCAAAATATTATAATAATAATAATGAGGAAAAAAGGAAGGGGGTAAGAGGTTTATAATATTCGGTTTAGATATCCGGTGATCCAGTCTTAGGCCAAGGTAAACAGAGGCTGGATATACCTTTTCTGGATACATAAGTTTGGCTTTCTATAGTTGATTCAGATGGCTTCAGCTATGTAGAGTAACCGTAATCTAGCTTCTTGAGGTAGATATTTTGGAACTTGATATAAAATAGTGAAAGCTTCCTCTGTTTTGATATTATGTTCACTATCTACCAAGTGAGAAATGATAGTGCTATTAATCGATTTAGTGACTTTTTCCCAACCATGCTGGTACATGTTCACGAACACTCAAAAATAAAGCCTTCTTTGTAAAATATCATAATTATGAACTTATAACTGTAGAGCTTGATGATGAAGTTATTGTTCGCTCAAATATTCTTCATTTTTGAATATTCTATGCGGATTTTTAAGCTGCTATAAAGAAGTGAATGGGAATTAACAGAGGGGATTATCAAAACGTCACAATTTCCCGTGTAGTAATAGTAATAATAATAAGTAACCTTTTTAACTGACCTTTGTATACACGATAAATTATTCTTACGAAAGTAGTTTTTTTTCTAGTTTGTTGAAATGAACCATAATGTATCTCACTTACATACGCCTGTTACTCCTCGTGGAGGAGTATAGGCCGCCCACCAGCACTCTCCATCCAACTTTGTCCTTTGCAATCCTTTCCAGTTCATCCTAGTTGTTATTCATTCTTTGTTTGTAAGTGTTTATAATTAAAATATTCATTGCTGCTTACGAAATAGATGCAAAAACTATCTGACTATTTATCTATATCATACTAAAAAAAAAAGAGATTTATATGAATTGGTAATTCACTTAGAGTATTTGAAATGGATTTTTTGTTTTACACTGTATCTACTGATGACAGTTACATTAGTGTAAATTTCACAATTTACAATAATGTCACAGTTGTTAACATTGTAGATGATAGTTGTTTTGTGAGGGTTATTTTGGTACAAAAAACAACATAAATTTTGTAACAATTGTTCAACTTAACAACAATTTGAAAGTCTTAACATTTGGTTACTAGTAGTCATCAAAGTTTTTTTCTCAATCATTTTATTTATAGAATAATCATTAGGTAGAAAATATAAACCTTGCACTATAATGTAAAAGGACACTTGAGTAAACCATCAATAGATGGAAGAACATACTCAAAACACATGTAGTGTTTACATTGTGTGTTTCTATTAATAGGAGCGTTATGTTAAGAGAAAATCTGGTTAAGTAATATTACTCAAAAAGTAATTAAAGAATTTACAATTTGTTGACAAGTTTTTTATAAGCATAACATTGGGATATGACTGCAAAGCATTTTAGAATCGTTCTGATTGACCTGTACAATTAATCGAGATTATTCAATTATAAGTGAAGTTTCAATATATTGGTGAGGTATTAACTATGGGGATTAATGAGGTTACATGAATGGGCTGTTTGAGTGTACTCAGGCAGTTATTATCAACGTAGAACTTTGTACGTACGTACATCAGTTCGAGTTGCCATACCACATTAGCGCAGAGATGCAGTTGTCGATTCAAATCCCGTAGTGGTAGAGACGGCAAAAGTATAAGCAGTAATCGGAAAGATTAGTGTTTGAAGATGTTATTCAAGGAGTATAATCCAGTGAAATAAATTTGGAAAGAGAAAAAAGGAGACAAGGAAGATTCAGGAGATTAGAATTTGGGAGAACACAACGAGTGAATACACCTGCGCCATTGCAAACGATTTTGAGCCATCTCATTCAAGGTCTCTAACCATCGGTTGCCATCATCTCGCGGCCCCTAACCAGGTAGTCTACACATACCAATATGGCTCAGTCCACTTGTTAGTGACTTCATGGATTTGTGCCATATTTTGGTCTGGCCGCCCCTAGCTTTCTTTCAACCTACTCCTACACCATAAAACATCGCACGTCGGTGCACTCGATGGTTGGGGATACATAACACATGTCCCAGCCATCTCAACTGATGAAGTTTCACTACTTCATCAATTGACTTTCCATCCTTTTATTTATTTATTTGAACA